CGAAGCTCCGAGTCCCTCTCCTCAGGCCTTGCCCTGCCCATCTCTCCATCTGCTGCTCATCAGCAGGTAATAAGCTAGTAAACATGTTTTCCTGAATTATGTAAGCCCCATTAACAAAGTCATCAAACGCAGGGAGGTGACCATGAAAACCCAATCTGCAGCCAGTCTGTCAGGAGCTCAGGCTTCAGCCTGTGCCCGAGGCTGGCGTCTGAAGTTGGGGGGTCGGTATTGGGGCTGAGAGCTCAGTCTGCAGTAGCTACTGCTCCCTCCAAAAAAGGTGTCAGTACTGAATGAAAGGCACTCGTGCCTGCTGCAGAATCTACAGGACTGTGTAGTTGGTTGTTTTTTGACTCTTAGCTCTTTAGGGGCCCACCACCCAGCTCCCAAATAAATCACATAGAGGCTTATTCTTTCTTGTAAATGCCCAGCCTTCACTTGGCTTGTTTCTAGCCAGCTTTTCTTAACTTAAATGAACCCAACTACCTTTTGCCTCTGGATTTTTATCTTTCTCTATTTCTGTATACCTTTCTTTACTTCTTACTCCATGACTGGCTGTGTTGCTGGGTGGATGGCCCCTTCTTTTCCTAATCCTTCATATCTCTTCCCAAATTTCTCCTATTTATTCTCTCTACCTGCCAGCTCTGTCTATCCTTTCTCCTGCCTTGCTATTGGCCATTCAGCTCTTTATTAGACCAATCAGGTATTTTAAACAGGCACAGTATCACAGCTTCATAGAGTTAAACAAATGCAACATAAAAGAATGCAGCACATCTTTGCATCATTAAACAAATGTTCCATAGTGTAAGCAAATGTAACACACCTTAAAATAATATTCCACAACAGGACTGCTTGCTCAGAAAAGGGAAATCCCCACATTTCTATTAACTAGAGTCACAGAAGTTTTCAGTGTTTCTAAAAGTGGAATAAAATGGCAGGGAGCTCTTTTCTCCTCTATAACCTTTAACTTAGTCATTTACTGCTGCACAAATAGGCAATTCATGAAGAAGTATGTTTGGTCATGTACAAAAGACTGGGAAGTCTAAGAAGCAAGACACTAGTCAACAGTGAGGACCTTGGCCGCATCCTAACATGATATCACAGCGTATCACATGGCAAGACCAAGGGAACCTCCTAGCTCAGCCCTCCTCTCCTTAGAAAGCTGTAATAAGAACATGGAGGCCCACCCTCCTGCCCAGGCTCCTACTTCACTCAACCTTTATTGCCTCCCAAATGTCCTGCCTCCAAATACCATTGACACATGAACTTGAACATTAAGCTTCTAACACATAAACCCTAGAGACAAATATCATAGCAACCTTTGTCATGTTCTAGTGATTCAAAGCAAGCCACTGCACCACCCTACACTCAGAGAAGATGATACCAGGACACAAATACTGGAAGCATAGGTTATCTTAGAGGCTGCCTACCTGCATTGGCTTGGTTCATGACTTTCGGTTATTGAGGTAGTTGGGATGTTGCCTTTCCAAAGCTCAAGAACAGACTTACCCTTTGCTGAGAAGCCCATAAAGCACCTGCTCACCATGACCTAGGCCCTAGCTTTGGGGACTCAGGAGAATCCTTGTGCTTTCTACTGTGCCAAGCCCAAGGCTGTGCTCTCAGAGCTGCTCCCAAGAATTGAGTGCTCCCTAGAGCACTACCAAACATCCTGGACAGATAAGTAAAGCCCAATTCAAAGGGAGCTTCTGTGAAGGACAGAAATTACCACCTCCAGTTCCAATTACCAGCTGGGCTAATTGCAAAAGTAATTGCAATTGAAGGGTCTAATTACAAGGCTGGGCCAGAGAAGCGTTTCCTCCCTCCCACCTCTGAGTACCCGGCCTGCTGCCTCCTGGGGGCTGAGACGGGTGGAAACCCCTTCCTGAGAGAATGGAAGCCTGGCCTGTATCCCAAGGGCCAGACTGATAAGGTGAAGCCAGATTCCTTCCTATTCCCATAAGGCTACCCCAGCCATGGGGGGGGGGGGGGCTCTCCCTTTGGCTTTCTGTCCAAACCTTGCACCAACTAGCCCACTCCTGGGCCACTGAGATCCAGGAATTATGAGCAGCAGGCTCTTCAGGCCCAACACCCACACTTGGCCAGCTCTTGCCCTACACCTTCCCTCTGAACACTGAGTGCTGTCACTGCTGGGGCCCTGTCTCAGAATGCCCCTCCATGCTGTATGGACTCCCCGACTGTCCTGAGGACTGGTACCTCATGGCCCACCTGGTTTAAGACACCCAGCCTGGCCTCGCCCTGAGTGAGCTCAGCTCACAGGAAGCCCAGAGACAGTGTTGATAAATAACTGGGAACATGAGAGTTAGCTAAGGGTGGCCTAGAGTCAGTGGACTTCCTGCCTGACGACAGCTCCACCTGCTAACTACTCTCAGGAGGTCCTGCCCCTCTAAAGGAGCTCTCCTGGGCCTGCCAGCCTGGTCACCTTACAGACACCAGGGCCAAGGAAAGGCCTGGGCATGCCTAGTGTCAGAATAAGTACTGATTGGTCAATGGTGCCATGGACTTGGGGACCATGCCTTTTCACATGGATCTTTAGGGGACATTCTACATGCCAATTATAGCACTGCTCCAATCCTATCTGGGGCTCCCATCATGCCCCAACTAAGGGCATGGATTGGCTAAAGGTGTACAATCTCTTTACATAGTGGCTATCTGTCTGTGGGTCTAATCCTCCTATGAGGCTAGATCAAGGTCCATTCTTCATCATTTCAGCCAGGAAAATGCAGGTGTCTCTGTAGACAACAGTAAATGAATTAATAATGAGTATGTGTCCCACGAGTAACCAAGAACTGCAGCAGCTATAGTGCAGGCTGAAACAGTCATTTCTTCCAAACCCAGAGGCTATGCCACCAGGATAGTCTCCAACATGCCTACATCTAACCATCCTGAAAATACCGCTTAACTGCCAGCACTCTATGTGTCAGGGCATAAGCATCCACCAGAGGGCAGTGCTGGACCATGGTGCCCACCTGGCAAGTGCCTGCATCGCCTAAACCAGGCAGAAACCCATCCCCTGTGAGTCTTACAGAATCTTAGCTACTAGGTTAAATGGAAGGAAACCAAGGCAGAGGAGCCAGGTAGATGCAGCATCTACCACCATGGCATCTCTACCATTTCCATTCACGCTGTGGGAATTTAGGTAAATTCTTTCCCCTTCAAGTCCTGACTTCTCCATGCAAGATTGTTTTTGTGCCCTTCAGAGTTTTCAGCAGCCATTCATCTGCCAAACACAAGTTTGTAACTGGCTAATTTGCTGTTCCATTTCTAAAAGATGCCACATTAACCCAACTTAAACTGAGGAGAGGGGAGCTGAAAATGCCAACCCCAAAATTCTGTTAAGAACAGCTCTGGTTTATTGCCTCTTAACAGTGGCTTGAACTTCAATCAGAAATGGCAGCCTGGGCCGTTTCTCAATTTTATAGCAAAGGAAAATGAGAGGATACTAGAGCAAAGCCTTCTGGATGCCAAGTGAATTAGCAGTTAGGAGTTTCTCACATAAGAACAGCATAGCACAGACTGGCTGAGGGGAGGTCTCTCCACTGCCTCCCAGCAGCCCCAGGACCCCCCATGGGGGCCCTCGCAGTCAGTGATCAGAAAGTGTGTCCCCACACTGTGGTGCTTAGAGGAAGGCTTTGTGAAACACTGTCCTACCATCTGCCTGAGCTTCCCTCTGCATCATCAGGAAACGGGCTGCTACACAGCCCTACACGCTGACTTGAGTGAAGTTCATCTATCAGAAAGATGTCCAGAAGCTGAGAAAAATGAGCAGAGGCTGGAGGGTTGAATTCAGTACGTGCTGAGGCAGCCTGGGGCTGGGGCTTCTTCTCTTAGCCAGGGTAACCACTTCTGTGATGAATGATCTGTGATAGGCTGGGAGTCAAAATCCCTGGTGACAGGTCACACCCAACCCCTGCTGGCTAGCCTGAAGAACACAAGGCATCCTGATGAGCAACCCCAGGACAATGCCATATGTAATGGAGAAAGGGTAAGTTCCCCCAGGGAGTGGGGGAAGGGATCTGGGTAGCTCAAGGCCAGGCAAGCTTCATGCCACAAGCCAATACAGCCAGTCTGGGTTGAAAATCAAGCCTCCCATCACACACACACACACACACACACACACACACACACACACACACACACCCTCTTTGATCACTAGGTCAGACTCTGTATCAGAAAGTATGGAAAGGTGGGCATGGGGAAGAAACAGGCAATGTTCTTCCTTGGGCGTGTGCAGAGCTGACTGAAAGGCAAGGCTTGTGGAAAACCAAGTAGAGTGAGCAAATGCCCGAGTGGAAGAGAGAGCCCTTTGTGTGGAAACACATGGCTTGACAGCTGTTCCTGTGTGGACACTGGCAGGTCCTTGGCTAATCTGAGTCCAGCTGTATCACCAGTAAAGATTGCTGGACAAGCTCACATGCCCTCAGTTGGCCCCCTGTCCAGCAGTGCTTCCCTTACAAAGAACAGGGATATAGACTCAGTCATCATAACACTACCATACAGCAATCGTGAGCACAGTCACACATGTGCATGCCCTCTCTCTCAATCACCAGGCTCTGGTGAAACAGGGGTCCGATGCACCACTGGCCATTAAATGACAAGTTCCTAGAACCAGGAGGGCTGACTTCCCAGGAGCTGATTCCCTCATTCAATAGCTGTGTGGTCCTGGCAAATCATAAATGTTAAAGCTCATAGGCATCTGCTTCCCTCAGACCCAGCTCTCCACCTGCAGACCCAGGCCGTAGATTCCAGGATGAGACATTTAGAGAGAATGTGACTCAGTGCAGCCCATGCCTACCACTGGAGACTCAGCCAACGTGTGGGTCCAGAATCCTATTTATATCCAAAGGTGATATTTACCAAAATCATACGTTAGTACAGAGAGAGCTGTTGTGAAATTAGACCCAGGGACTTATGGGTATTCAAGCCCTATAGAAATCTCTGATTTGCAAACATAAGCATCCAAAAAAAAATGGCCCAGAGAGGACTCATTTTTGATGATGTTCTTCCGTTCCTGCTCACATCCTGGACAGTTCTCCCCTGGCCTCAGGATGATTTTAGAATAGTACACTATGGACAGCACAGCACAGGTGGACAGGTACACAGGAGATTTTAGGCTTCTCACCTCCCCAGGGCCATAGCCCTTGATCTTCCAAATTACTTGAAGAGACAGATCGTTAAATATTCTGCAACCACACAGTGAGTCCCTGCTTCCCTACCTGAGATCTCTATGCCCTCTCCTCCCACTGCCCATCCCCTGGGCCAGTCCCACGTGATTTAGGTTTGTTGTTATGGCAACATTCTCACTCCCAGATGCTGTTTGCATTAATTATAGTAATGCAAGATGCTGAGATAAGTGGACCCAAAGTGCTCAGAACATCTGAACTTGGTTCCTTCTTCACATGGAAGTCCCTGGGCCCTGTAGTCCTGATAAATGGAGGTTCTTCATGATGATCCTGGTCAGGCTTCCATCACAGCAGCCAGCTCCCCTTGAAGAAAAGGGCCCTTTCTTCTGGCTGTGGGGAAGAGAAAATGAGGAGGGATTTGCTTCAATGTCTCAATGTCTACCACTTCCATCCACCAGGGCAGAGCTCAGAACACAGCTGCAGCCACATTAATGCCAAGGAAGGCAGGAACTCAGAGAAAAACAAACAGCCGCCAAGAGGGATTCCCGACAGCTATCTTTAGGAGTTTCTGCCTGACCCCCACATTTCTAGTGGTCCACCTGTTGTCATCCGTGCATTCATCTGGCAAGTGTTTGCTTACTGTGTGCTTTGTGCTGGTCTCATACCAAATTGACACAATCCTTGTGCATTTGGCTTCCAGTCACCACAGACACCAAAGGAGCACTGACTTACACCCCAGTGTGATTCATGCCAGTAGGAAATGTGCAGAAAAGGAGCTGATAAAGTATCAAAGGGGTGTGTGTCAGACTTCTCAGAGGAGATGCCCTGATGCTGAGGTCTATAAGATGTGAGGAATGTCTTCACAGAGGAGATGGTCAAAGGTAAATCTCAGGTAGTCACAGATGTCACCTCATAGCTAACCTGCCCAGTGGGGTGGGGCTGATGGTGAGGAAGGAGACCATTAGTGGAAAGCCCTTGGGAGATGGTTCTATCTTTGGCTGATGAAGGGGGAGGTCGTTATGAAGCAAGGCATCCACAAAGCGATATGTCTGCTACTACGGTGTTTCTTCCATTTCTTCTGCTGCTTTAACAAATGACCACAGACTTAAGGACTTAAAACAACACAGATGCCACTTCAGCCAGGAGGCCTGGTGGGGACCCAAAGAGTTAAATTATTGTACAGGCATATGCCTTCTCCTCTCCTCCTCAAGTGGTGTGCCCCTTGAGAGGCTCCTGGCCTTTTCAACATCTGGAGGCTGTCTACATCCTTGCTTCCGGCCATAATAACAGCATCCCTCCACCCTCTTCTATCCCTACATCTTTTCCCTCCGGTTTACATCTACATGGTACCTTTGCAGTAAGGACACCCTCTCAGAACGGTGCCAGGATGTCATGGCACTACAGTGTGAATACTGTAGAGTTGTAAATTCTACCTTCTCATAAGTACACAGAGTATACCCTAAAATAATAACCAATGTTATAGTATAGGAAATATACAAACTGGGTCCCCTGGGTATTGATTGTTACTATCAAGTTCTCGGCCCTGTCCATTGTCACAGATGCTGCACTTGGCAATGACCAGCAGTGCAATGGTTTATCTGTCTCAGGCTCACCCTATGAGTGAAGCATTATGCCATGATGTTAGGACAGCTAAAGAGGCACAAAGTGATGGGCTTTTCAGCTTGCTTTTATCCTGTGACTAGTCATTGACCAAAACACGGCCATTGTGCAGCACATGCCTGGCTTACACAGACAAGCCAGGGTAACCTCCCTTCTTCAAACCCCTAACTTACCTTGGCCGTTCCCCTTCACAGTGGAAGGCAGCATGTTCATTGACCCAGGGATAAGGAGATGAACATCTCCAGGGGTCGTTATTCAGCCTCCTGAAACTCTTCAACTCTGTCAACAGGCACCAAGGGCGCTCAGACAGGAACAGGGGCATCTGTGCAGATGGCCACACTCAAGGACAGGAGAGCCCTCAGTTCTCAATCAGAAGGAAAAACATCAGCATGGAGTCTGGCAGCCGGTCCTGGCCCCTGCTGAGGACAGCTGTGCATCTAGTCCTGAATCCTCGTCACTTTTTCTGGTGACAATTGCATCCCAATTGTCCTAAGGGACCCAGACCTCCTAAGACAGCCACCTCCTCTATGGTACTGCCTTCAGCGCCCTTGACTCATGGACCCTTTCTCACCTCTGTCACCCCGGTGGTCGGTCTTCTCTCTGATTGCTCATCTCCAGCGAGAACACGGCCTTCCATGAGTCTGTCAGAACCAGATCTGAAACTGCAGGAAGGCCAGCAGCTGCTGTCTGAGCAGGAGAAGAGAAGTGCCATTGGCCCCTTGCCAGAGGTTACCACGACCTAGTCTTCACAGGGCACAAAAAGCCAGGCGGGGCTCCTCATTCTGAAATCTCTGCAAGGTCATGGCCATCCCCCAGAGAAGAGGCTGGGTCCCTGAGATTTGTCCCCAGACACAGGCAGTCAGGAAGCATCCTCGAGGGGCCCAGTGCCTGATCCCTTACCATCTCTGCCTCATACTCATGTCAAGAGACAAGGTGCGCACCTCCCATCTGGCCGATCCCTCTCCTGATGACGGTGGGACCCAGTCTACCACATAAACTTGCCTTTTCTCCATCCTCCCAGAAATCTTGGCTGGGTACTGCTCCTCCCGGACATTCATGGGTCCCCAACCTACTGCCCCCACCTACATTTCTATGGAGCCCTTAACCCTGAGTATACCAGCTGTTTTCTGAGGAGCCCTCAACAGGCACACTGTGTTCTGAAGGCAAAGCCAGGATTCCAGGGCCTCCAGAGCTCTCACTGAGTACCATGACCCCCAGTCAAGGCCAAAGAGGGAAGAAACAGAGAGCCTCTTTCAGACCTGCTGGGGGTGGGTGGGACTGGCAGGAGGTAAGGTACATGTGGGCACAGTGGTCAGGCCAGGTGTCCATCTCTCTCCCATTGGGTCACCTATGCTGGGACCTCTGGCTGTTGGAGGCTATGTCCTCACCATAGGGACAGGCAGGTATAGCTGGCCCAGAACACTGGCCCTGGAGCAGGCAGCCTACTGGAGCCAGTGTCAGTCCTTATTCCAGCTTTGAGTTCTCCAGTTCTCCAGGGCCACAGGGGACCTTTGAGGGCCTGCAGTCTCCAGTGGGTTCTAATGAGTGGCTGCAAGGAGAGTGGTCCTCCATAAATGTCTGAGGTTAAAAGGGGTGACAGAAAGAAGGAGATGAACTTCTGAACACCTACTGGGTACCAGGCCCTTTCCCAAGGAAGATGGCTTGGACAGGGTCTAACCACCACAGCAGGGATCGCAGCCCAGGCCACCGGGCTTTGCATCTCTCAGGCCTTTCTTCTAAGCACTGTCACGTTTCTGAAGCGGGCAGACCTGGTCACCACAGCCTCTTCCACAGGAAAGACGAGGTGCTGCAAAGAGGGGCCTGAGAGGGAAACTCGGGGTGAAAGGCAGAGTGCATTCCTTTCTCCAGACTCTATGAGCCTGCTGCTTGGAACCAGTGGATCAAGGCTCCTACCCTGCTCTGATCCAGAAGCCACACCTAGCCTGGGTGTCCAGAGTCCCTCATGGACACTCAGGTCTCAGTAACCTACAGGGCCACAGCTCTTCTGAGTTTGCCAAACAAGGACAGGGGCTATACTGGCAGCCAGGACTGTGCTGAGGCCAGGGGGCCCTTCCGCATAGCTGTTGATACTGTGATCACCGCTTACAGGTTCCCACTGTGCATGGTGTAGATCCCAGCAGTATAACTTCTGGCAACCAGGAGTCTCAGTTCCATATGCATCAACTGATGATTCTAGTGTTGGCCTTAAGGGATAGCTGCAGATGAGTAAGCCCTCATTTGTCAAATAACGCTCCACTGTTGTTATTAACCGACTGCAATCCCGCCAGCAACACATGGGAGAAGGTACTGCTAGTCTCATTTCACAGAATTCAAAACTGAGGTGAAGGAGCTTCAGGACCCTGTCCAAGGTCCAGAGTGAAAACTTGGTAAGAGCAAATGCCTCCTCATCGCTCCAGGACACAGCATCAGGGAGAACCATCTTCACTCCCAGTACATCAGGACCAAGGACAAGGAGTCACATCAGCCTAAGTCCCAGGCCAGGGAGGGAAGGCAGGCACTGACACAGAACTGTGACTCCAGGTGCTGAGGGCCATCTAGAAGACTGGGGATGGACAAATGGGGCTTTGCTGTGGCTTGCATGTGTGCTCCCCAAAATTCAGTGTTGGAAACCTTATCCCCAAATTCAAATGTCAATGTGTTTGGAGATGGGGCATTTGGGAAATAATTAGGGTGAAATAAGGTCAAGAGGTAGGGCCTCCAAGATAGCATTATCGGCTTTTTTTGTTTTGTTTTGTTTTTGTTTGGTTTGGTTTGGTGTTTTTTGTTGTTGTTGTTGTTGTTGATGATGATGATGATGATGATGTTGTTGTTGTTGTTTTGTTTTGTTTTGTTTTGTTTGAGACAGAGTTTCTCTGCTTAGCCTTGGCTGTCCTGGAACTCTCTGTAGAACAGGCTGGCCTCAAACTCAGAGATCCGCCTGCCTCTGCCTCCCGAGTGCTGGGATTAAAGGCGTGTGCCACCACCGCCCGGCTGCACTGGCATCTCTTTAAGCAGAGGGAGCAGACCTGAGCTACCTAGCGCACCTTTACTGTCTCACCACCCCCAAACCTCCACCATGCCGTGAGGCGGCACAAGGCCCTCACCAGATGCTGACCACAAGCTCAGGGACACCCTGGAATCCAGGACACTGCGCCAAATAAACTTCTGTCTTCTACAGATCACCCAGTCTCAGATATTTTGTGCCAGTAACATAAAACAGACTAAGACAACTTAAAGGACAAAGGGTGTGCAGCAAGCAGCTGGATGGTACCTGAAAGCAACTGTCACTGGGAGCTTGTGAGCTCAGAGCCAGTCTCTGCCCTTAGCGGTGTGGTCATGGAGGAGCGAGTTTGCTTCTCAGGGTGCCTGACTTTTCTAAACAGCTCTGAACTTGGTAAAAGTGAGAAGGGAAGAGGCCCTGGTGAAATAAGAATGTCTGTCTTCTTTAACTACATTTACTGAGTGTCCCTGAATGTCCCACTATGGGTGCCCGTTGCATGCCTCGCCATGGGTGCAAAGTCGGTATCTCATTACATACCAAGATACCAGGTTCCAAAGACCAGACAAGACTTTGTCAAGACCATACAGGGATCTGCTAAGCACTTTCTTCATGGTCATCATCCATCAAACTCTTCAAACATGTCCATGGAATTACCTACCTCGCCTTGCAGGTGAAGAACCCACCATTCTGGCCCAAGTGCTAATGCCAGTCTTCATGTGCATCTAGACAGGTCCAGAAGTCAACACAAGATACCTTGTTCCAGAGGGCTTCTTGGTCAATGTGATACCTGGGCTCCATTGTCCAAAGGAAGCACTTGTGAGAAAGGGTCGTGTGATCTGCTGACTGAAAAGCAGTGGACACAGGTGGTTTTGTCACCTGTACAACAAACATCTCACGTCCTTCTTCTGGTCCTCTTCCTTGGATAGCACAGCTTCCTGCTGATTCACTCGGGGATCTTCCTCACTCCCCAGCTCCAGGTACATAGCTCAGAGGGATGGTGAGGATGCCACACTCTGCCTCTGTGGGATTTGGGACCAAATCCCAAACTCTTGGCATCTTCTTTAGTGGGACTATGAAGAGGATGAGGCTGAAGCAAAAGTCAGCTGTGACCCCGAGTGAGGACAGCGCAGAGAGGTGGGGGTGGGGATCGGAAGCCCTGTGCCATCCTTTGATTCCCTGGAGCAACCTCGGCTTTGCCCAAGGCAACCCGGCAGAACACTTAGAGAAATAAGTTAGTGTCCCCTTTGCCTTGGGCCAGCTTGAACTGGAACTCTGATACTTGCTACAGCCTTGACAAACACAGGAACCCAAAATGGAGCCAAACTATCACATGCCACAAAAGACTTGGAGACAGTTATTAGCATTTTAATGGTAGTAATTAAACAAACAGGAAAACAGTCAAATTAAATAAGAACATTTTCCTTATCTAGAAGGCAGTGTTTAAGGAGAAAATTATTTACTCAAGTTAAAACAGCCAAACTCAAATGCAAAGAGGAGACTGGTGGCCACCAGGGGCTGGGGGAGAGGAGACACTGAGCTACTCATCAATAGCTATAAAAGCGAGAGGAACGAAACTGGGGTAACTCGGTGACAGAGTGCTTGTCTACTGCGCTTGAGGTCTGGCCTTCTATATCCAGCACCATGACTTTTTAAACAGGTGAACAGGTTCTAGTGATCTGCTGTGCCCCGTGGAGACCACAGGTAACCACATGGTAGTCCACACTTAAAATTCTGTTCATGCGGTAAGCTTCATATTGTGCTCTTACCACAAAAAAGTTACAAATCTTTAAAGAAACTGAAAATAATGGATAGACTGTTCCAGAGGATAAGGAAGAAGATGGTGGAGTCTTCTGAAGTGGCTGGGTCCCAAGAGGTAGCACCCACTCTGGCTTGAGGGTTGATTCTGTGCAGGGAACAGCCACTGGGGGTTGAGGCCTATGTGCAAGATGCCTCCTACGATGTTTATGTTTAACCCTCAAACATTCACACATGCAGGGGTGTGACACCCAGTTACACTAGGGAGGAAATTGTTGTTCAGAGGGAATAGACCCTTAGCCAAGCACACACACAGTTCACACCACTCATGCCAAATGTGAGGTCATTTTCTCATCACATCATTAATTCCACAACTGTTTGTTAAGCATCTGTGACCACAAGGCCCCATAATCAGCATAGAGCATCATGGGGGGCATGTCAGATGAGAAATCATTCTGCACCTAAAGGCAGAAACACAAAAGGCCATCCCATCCTCAACTATTCTAGGGTGTCCAAACCAAAGGTGAGAACACAAGGCTGTAGAGTCTGTAAATAGCCTATAAGTTCAGGGAAACTTCTGTCTCCAGGGCCCAAATATTCTCTGCCCATAGAACCACCCATTCTTTCTGATTCAAAGGTCAGCATACCCTCTGTACCTAAGATCCATAACATATCCTCTGTGTACAGCACAAGTGCATCTTCTCTCTGTCCTTGAGTGATGGACAGCCTCTGCCCCAACTCTGGACAAACACATGCTGCACCCATAGAACCAGCACTCCCAACATCCCCAGGACCAGCACACCCAACATCCCCAGGACCAGCACTCCCAACATCCCCAGGACCAGCACACCTGGCAGCCCCAGGACCAGCACTCCCAACATCCCCAGGACCAGCACACCTGGCAGCCCCAGGACCAGCACTCCCAAAATCCCCAGGACCAGCACACATGATATCCCCAGGACCAGCACTCCCAACATCCCCAGGACCAGCACACCTGATATCCCCAGGACCAGCACACCTGATATCCCCAGGACCAGCACTCCCAACATCCCCAGGACCAGCACTCCCAACATCCCCAGGACCAGCACACCTGACATCCCCAGGACCAGCACACCTGACATCCCCAGGACCAGCACACCTGACATCCCCAGGACCAGCACACCTGACATCCCCAGGACCAGCACACCTGACATCCCCAGGACCAGCACACCTGACATCCCCAGGACCAGCACACCTGACATCCCCAGGACCAGCACACCTGACATCCCCAGGACCAGCACACCCGACATCCCCAGGACCAGCACATCTGGCATCCCCAGGACCAGCACACCTCTCACCTAAT